AGCATTTCCAGTTCAACATTGACACCATTACATGACACAGAACCAAAATAAACTAGGACTGTCCCCACATGAACTAGGACTGCCACCACTACTAACATATCTTCAGACTCCCAAAATGAACCTGGCATCACCAATGCAGCTCATCTTCAACATCTTCACTTCTTCACCATGAATACCACCAATGCAGCAACACCTAACATCAGCACAACAGCAAGCAGCAACTTCATGAGCATCACTAGCTCTCTCCCAAGCTTCATCAGTGCAGCAGCTTGTTGCCTAGTCATGACATTGCCACTCTCCCTCTTCACAAACTTCTTGGACCAGCTGGTTGATCCACTCATTTAGGTAAGCTCTTGTGCTTTCAGAAGTTCCTCCTTGTGTTCCTCAGCCGCACCAATAGCATCCATAGCGGCATTGCCGACCAGATAGTGATTGTCAACGAGGTACTCGACATACTCCAATTCTCAACGCCAGAACTCACAACTCACCTATCCCAAAAAGACATGCCATGGTCAAAAACTTCAATCTTTGGATCCAAAACATAATAAATCCATGCAAAGGAGATAAATCAAACCACTAACCCCATGATTTTGGCACTTGTAGAAGACCCACCCGTCATGCTTCTCAGTGGTGGAGACAAACATGTGCACCTTCTCCTTGCAGCCTGCGCAGCAGATCAGCGGCAGCGCCAACGCCCGGCGGCGGACATCAAAGGAGGACGAGCTTGCGGGGGAAAGCGGCAGAGGAGAACGAGCTGTCGTCTAGATTGGATCTGCCGGGCTCTGCCCTATTCGACGGCGGCGACGATGGTGGCGGAGCATAGCGACAGAGGCGGAGGGGGCCGAGGGGGTTAGGGATTTGAGGGGGACGCCGCGGCTTAGGGATTTGAGGGATTGGGGATTTTGGTTCTTTTACAGAAAACACCTCCATGCATCATTGGCCAAATGAGAGACCACTACGTGGCGGTCAACAGTTGGTCAAACTAGGCATGTACGCACCGCATACGCGCTACAGTGACTGTATATTCACGTGCCATCGTATTTAGTGACCGTAACGAGTGTATTTTAAAGTTCAGCGACTGTATCGTGCTTTCGTCGCAAGTATAGTGACCATGAGTGTATTTATCTCAAAAGTTTAACCCGTCCATGCCTTTGTTGCTTTGCAGCTTTCAATCACTAATCCTCCCTCTATAATTTCATCCTTCATTATTTCCTTTTGGCGATCTTGCACAATTGGTTCTCTAACTGAAGCTTTTCACCTCATTTTGAGGTTTGCTCCCCTTCTTAATGAATGAACGCATGGATGATGAATCTAGATGCGTGTCGTAAAAATAATAATAGACAAGGGCTATGTTTGGTGACTTGTGGCGCATACCAAGTCGAGGAAGAGGAAGTCGATCGAGAAGAACAAGTTGTACATTGCGGTACACTACTCGGGGAAGAGATGGAGAAGTTGTGCATAGAAAGTACAACTACTTTCTCTGTAAAGAAATATATAAAGTATATACTACTTTAGTAATCTAAACGCTTTTATATTTTTTATAAAATAAGTATTAATTTGTACTCTCTCTATTCTGAATTACATGTTGAAAGAATATACTTAGACATATTTTATTTATAGATACATAGCAAAGGGAGTAGTAGTTTCTACTTCGACTAATGCTAGGCCTACAAAGGCTTCTCTATAAATTTATTGGACCTGCAAACGCGAAGGTTTAAAGCATCTACAACCGGGCACCACAAACCCACCTTAAATGCTCGGGCCCACGGCCGGTCAGTAACGGGTAAAAACACTTGTCCCAGACAAGCGCTTCAAACACCCGGACTGATCGGTACCCCCCATATTCAGCCCAAATGTAGGGTGGATATGGGGAGGCTTAGGCGCGGTTGGGTGCATCCGCCACGTCGAACTGGCGATGGGGTCCCACTGGAAAACACCCGGGAAACCGATGGTTCGACGGGCATCTCGTTCGGTGGGGTGTGAACGTCGTGTGGCGTCGCTCCGGCTCTCCGTCCGAGGGACAAAGTCTGTCTATTTAAGTCGGACAGTGCCCCCCTCCCCCCAGCCCTAGCCACATCCACTTCCTCCCTCCCTGCATCGCCATCCCCGGTCCATCCACCTCTCTCCCGCCTTGCCTCACTCTTCCCATGTCACCCGGCCTCTGCATGGCCCGGGAAAAGAAGACGACGTATGCTATGCTCACGCCGGAGCGCCGGTTTCAGATTGAGGAGGAGATCCGGGCGAGGCACGCCACCCGCATCGCAGCCGGCCTGCCTGTGGACTCGTCGGGGCCGGAGGAAGAGGAAGAGGAGCAGTCGCCGTTCCAATGGAGGTGGCGGATCTGGAGGAGGACGAGGCTGAGCAGCTGGAGGAGGAACTGTTGCTGGATGCGGGCTTCGACATGGAGGACACAATGGCGAAGGTCGTGGTCGCCCAAGCGGCAAAGATGGCGGAGCAGCATGCCATCCTGGAGTCCGTCCAGGAAGAGGCCTATGTCAAGGCGAACCGGCAGTTTATCCGGCAGGAACGGGCAGCGACCGATGTGCTTTTCGCCGAACTTGACATGGAGGAGCCATAGTTGCGGCTGCCGCACATGTACCCAGAGCTGGGCATAGAGATAGTGGACATCTCCAAAGAGGATTGTTATAGTATAGGTTATTTGATCAACATAGTGCATGGATTTCCTTGTTTGCATGCTTTGTAATGATTCAGTGTTTCACGTATGAGGAATCAGACGCAAAAAAGCAAATTTAAGATGTGATCGGTCACTGCCAGCCTAGGCTTGTCCATTGCGTTTGCGTGCCCAGATTTATTGTCCCCGACTGTAGATGCTCTTAGCATCGGAAAATAGGACGATGGAAAGGGGCCCCGATGAAATCAGGGGAGAATTTGAGAATCTACAACCAGACACCCTAAACCCTCCTCAAATGCCTGGGCGGGCCGCCCGATCACTGACCGGTCATGATTTTTCGATCCAGACAACCTCCTCAACCGGGCCTCAAACGTCTGATCTGGACGACATCCCTTATATCTAGTCTAAATATGAGGCGGATATGAGGGCACCCGGACGCCCGCCACGTCGGACTCGGCCCACGCTCTCCCACCAGACCCCGCATATATTCTTCCCATCCGCTCGCCGGACCAAATCCTAGCCACTTCATGCCACTCCTCTCAACGCCCCTCCGCCACCCCGAGCTCACCTCCGGTGGTTTTCGGCCGTCTCCGTCATGGCAGGCAGCGGATTCGAGTCCTTCACCTCCAGATCCGTCGACCCCGAGCTCCTCTCACGCGGCCCCGTGGAGGAGGCCCGTGCACAGCAGCGCTCGGACTCCTTACGTCGAGAATCCATTGCATCCGTGCAAATGGCGCATGGATCTGACGCTAGGGCAGCCGTCGCGGCCTCACCGGAGGCGATGCGGTTCGTCTGGCGTCCGAACGCGGTTGTGGACGCGCAACCCCTCTGTTGGCGCGCCAAGCAGCGAGACCCACGATGGGTCTCGTCTGACGAGAAGATGGCACAACGTGCCCGCCGTGCCAGGCACCGGGCGCGGGAGGCGACGGCAGCCCTCGCGGCGCTGGACATCGGCGAGGCGGAGTCACATTTTCTGGCGCCCCGTATGGTGCATCAGTTCGGGCGCCGCAACCGCGCCGTGGTGCACGTCGCCGGCACGTCCCATGACAAATCCATCATCGTTCTGACGTGCACCGGCACCGTTCGGGTTACGAGCTCCGACGAGGAAGAATAGAGCATGGGAGACAGCGGCGCCTTGCGTACCGTGAGCCGGCGTGTGTCTCATGCCCTACTCTACCTTACCGGCGACCGGATCAACACTTTGGGGAGCGCAGCCGGCCGCCGGACATGGCCACGGCAGAACCGAGCGAGCTCTGGTTTGATTATGTTTCACATTGCATGTAATAATATGAATTTGCGGTTTCTAATTTAAGGTGTCCGGTTATAGAATCAAATATTTAAGACGTGACCAGTCAGTATCCGTGGAAGCGTCCGCGGGCGTTTGCCGGGCCGGATTTGCCCATCACTACTGTAAATGCTCTTACTTCTTACTTTGTAGTAAAAAGCATCCTTGGATGTAAGATTATATTCTACTGATTCACCCACAGGGTGCCGTTACTCTTTGCTTGTCTGGCTTTTCACAGCATTGCCTTTTGGTTCCTCCGACGCCAGTACTAGTCTTTTTAGGTCCAAAAAAACAATGCACCGTGGTACTAGTCATGTGCTCTTGTGCAGTGGAGTCCAAGCTCGGACAGCTCATTTGACGCCTGTTTCGAGCCAAGCGCGGTTGCCCGTGACAGACACACATGCCACTGCCGCTGCCTGCCACTCCCTCGCCCCCAGACAAGAAAGCTAGAGGACAGCATCACACACCGCCGCACGCCATGGCGGATTGGCCATTGTCCCTTGCCGTACCATTTCTATATCATACCATCTCCCCACGATTGGATCCAGGCATCCAGTACTGCCAGGCACCCAGTGAGCACAGCTCGTCGAGCGAGCCACCGTCACCTTGGGCCTTGCCGGGACAATGGAGCCAGCGGCGGCGACGATGCTCTCACGACCGCGAGTGTTGCCCATTCTGCTGGCCGTGTTCGCGCTGCTCGCGGCGGCCGTGACGGTGGGCGCGCGCGGGGGCGCGGAGAGGGCGCCGACGCTGGTGTTCATCCTGGCGGGGCAGTCCAACATGGGCGGCCGGGGCGGCGCCACGGTCGGCAACCGCTGGGACGGCGTGGTGCCGCCCGAGTGCGCGCCGTCCCCGCGGACGCTGCGCCTCTCCCCGTCCCTCCGCTGGGAGGAGGCCCGCGAGCCGCTGCACGCCGGCGTGGACGCCGGCAACGTGGTGGGCGTGGGCCCCGGGATGCCGTTCGCGCACGCGCTGCTCCGCTCCCCGGCCTGCCCGCGCGGCGCCGTTGTGGGCCTCGTCCCCTGCGCGCAGGGCGGCACCCCCATCGCCAACTGGTCCCGCGGCACCGAGATGTACGAGCGCATGGTGACCCGCGCCCGCGTCGCCGGCGCCGGGACGGGGAGGAGGATTGCGGCGCTGCTGTGGTTCCAGGGGGAGGCCGACACCCTGCGGCGCGAGGACGCGCTGGCGTACGCCGGCAGGATGGAGGCGTTTGTGCGGGACGTCCGCCGCGACCTCGCCTTGCCCAACCTCCTCGTCATCCAGGTATGTCCGTCTGTCTGTCGCCACAGTAGCTACATCCATGGATGATGGATCCCCTGCCCCGACTCCATTAATCTCAACTCTGAGAGTGAATGCGTCATCCATGATTTCTTGGAACAGGTTGGGATCGCGACGGCGCAGTGGCAGGGGAATAAGCAGGGGAAGTGGCTGGACCTGGTGCGGAAGCAGCAGAGGGCGGTGCGGGTGGCGAACCTCAAGTACGTGGACGCCATGGGGCTCCCCCTCGCCAACGACATCACGCACCTCACCACCCAGGCCCAGGTCCGGCTCGGCAAGATGCTTGCCGACGCGTACATCGCCACGCTCTGATGATAATCCAGTACGCAATCAGTCAGTGTGTGTGCCTGCCTGCCTGATTAGTATCATTGATTGATTCCACGGAAGAGTTGATTTGGTGATGATTAATTAGTTGTTGACAAGAGATGAATAGATCTGCTTTGGTGACGAGGAGTCAGGCTCCAACGAGCTCAGATCATTGTTGCCATTAGTTGTTATCGGCATTGTAGGAACAACTGTAACAGTCTCATCACCAGTACGACATACATTGCCGTTTTGCGGAGGGAAAATCCTTGGCCATTGTGATGTTTATTATCTACCTGGAAGTGAAAAGAAGCCTTGTTTCAGCAGCACAGACTTTGTTTGTAACTCATTGATCTGACACACAGAAATTACAATGATGTACACATAGATTGGAATCTACAGCACGGACTTGAAAAGAAGCCTCATGTTTTCTCGCAAAAAAGAAAAAAAGAAGTCTCATGTTTGTAACTCATTGCAAACTCATTGATATTGACTGGAGCTATCAATATCTATCAATGAGTTTCTTATGAACTGCTTCCGGTTCCAGTAATAGCTATCAAGCCGAGCCGCGCAATTAACTTGCGATACATTCGTACGGTAAGAGTGTTGGAGTCACACCTGCCTTGCGCTGTACAGATTGAAGGAACGACCTCGTGTATTACTACATACTCCGTATATGTTTTTTTGAGAAAAATGAAATTCTACTTGCAGAGGACCTCCACACACACATACAGAGAGACTAGCAAAAAGGCCCGTGCGTTATAGAACCTCTAGACCTTTCTTCTCCTCTCCAGTGCTACTGTAGGAGGCGATAAGGGAGGCGAAAGGAGGGCGACCGGCGTCGCTCCGGTCGGTGAGGCCGTCGGGCCGCTCCGTCTTCGGTGCCCCTCGGGGCCTTGGAGATGCAGCGGACCACGGTTCTCCCCCGGCCGGTGGCTGTACTGTCTCTGCGCTATGTAGGCTAGTTCTCCGGCCAAGTTCGCTATCACGGCACCGGCGGGCTTGGGTAGGAATAAGGTCCCTCCGACTGCGGTGCCGTTGCAGCGGCGAGTTCTCCGGCGTCGTTGTGGAGTCTGCGAGGGGGAGGTGTACAGGAGTTGCGCTTTTGAAGCGCCGCTCGTCTGCGGCTGCCATGTGTGGCGAAGCTGTGGGCGGGCGCGAAGGCGAGCAGCTGCGGCAGTCATCGGTACGGGGCAGTGGCGCGTGGATCTGGCCGTCTCGGTGTGGACGGAGTGGTCAAATCCCCAGATCCGAGCCGATGCAAGCTCGGAGAGCGCCTCATGGAGGGAGGTTGCCTCCGGCCGCCGGATCCTTACCGGATTTCATCCTGGTCTTTAGGCTGGGAGGCTATTGCGGCTCAATAAAGCCAGAGGGCGAGGGGCTTCACCGGCTCTGGTTTTCATGCTCTGCGTCGGTGGTTTTTCTCCAGCAGTTTCTACGGCGGAAGACAATGGCGCTGAGCATCTTCGGCTTGTACGGAGAAGACGATGGACCAACTTGTTATTTTGTTCCTTTTATGATCTTCTCTGCTGTAGTTTGGTGGTGGCAGCCGCACTGTTTGTATCATCTATGTATGTTTGTATTTGTACGAGTCCATGTACTGTTTTCCTTGACGTATAAATACAAGTAGCGCGTATAGTTGCGGGTGTACGCTTTCAAAAGAGAGAGAGAGAGAGATAGATAGATTGACGAGGACGGCGGTTGGCCCTCCAGGTCACGGCGCGCACAGCGGCAAGATTGACCATTGCCTCCTTCATGCCATGGATGCTTTCAGAGATTCAGACCTGTAGATATGTCGAATTCATCGCGTTATCACCGGATTCAATGTGAGAACATTTATTTAGAGTTTTAGACACAAGGGAGATTGGTTATTTACCAGGGCGCTCATGCTTTTGCCGATTTACTTTGCACCGTCATAAAAAAAATTAAGCTGATGATATCCACTGACCAATGGGAAATACTTCCCACCTTCTCTGCATCGTCTTCCCAACTCCGGGCAGCCATTTATGAATAAGCGTTCGAGGGCTGACAACCGCTCCAGGAGACCATGCGGGAACACCTCCAAAGCTGGACTACCCCAAATCTTCAATTCCCTAAGACAAGTGAGGCCACACATCCCATCAGGCAACGCTTTCAGGATGCTGCAGTTTCTCACAAAGAGACTCCTCAGCTCGGCCAGATTCCCAAGGTTCGAAGGCAGCGCTATCACACTCCGGCACTCAGAAATCGCCAATGCCTCCAGGGACAGCGGAAGGGTTTCCTCCTCAGACGATGAAGTGCTCCCCTCCAGGTTGTCACAACGTATGATATACAGAAGGCGGAGGCGACCCAAGCACCAGAGCTCCTCTGTTGGCCAATGGACAAGATTGCTGCAACCATCAATCGTCAGGTCTTCCACGAACGAAAAGCATTTCCAAACCATAAGTTGTGAGCTGGACAATCGAGAGCTTCTGACCAAGTTGTTGGGGCCTTCCAGAGTCAACCACACAAGTTTTTCAAGAGGTGTTTCACTTTGGCCTTGCTGGGCGTCTAGAGGCAACATGGGTTTGTCTTCGAGAGACCCAAGAGTTAAGCGGGCGAGAAATGGCCAGGAGCCTAAACGGATACACATAATAACTGAACCGACCGCAATACTGTGAACTCCAAGTATTGTCAAGTTGCTGACATTGGGGATCACTGGAATACTTGCAAGCTTGGGGCAATTTTTGATCTCTAGCTCTTCAAGCACTGGGAATGTTACCAGGTTATTACTAGGCTCTCCCACACTATATTCTGCCCATATCTTCAGCCTTGGTAACTCAATCAACCTCATCTTCTTCAACCTAGGGAAAATTTGCAGAGGGGTAATGCATCCTCCACATTCCTCATCAAGGTTATTACATAATGTTGTCAGGTTATCCATCGTCTTTAAGACCAAAATCTCTAGAGAGACCGAGAGCCATATTACAGGGATACTCTTGCATTTTGGGCAATCAGACATTTTGAGTTCTCTCAAGCAGTCAAACATCTGAGGCTTTCTGATCCATTGTGATATTTCTAGGCCACCATATCCACATATCTCCAATTTCTGGATATTACTATGAGGTTCTAAGCACTGAAGCACATCTTCCACATTACATGCAATATCTCTAGGCCCATCATCTATTTCTTGGTCCCAAGAGAAGAACAACTCACTTAGATTTTTCTTCTGATTGAGGTTGTTTTGCATTCTCGCCACTCTTTATCTTGCTCAAATTCAACAATTCCAAACTATTGCTAAGGCATTGTAAATCTTTGAGCTGCTCTATCCCAAGGCCATCTCTAGTACCCACAACAAATGTTGTTAATATGTGAAGGTTGTGAAGTAGACCAAAGTTTGGAGACATACTTTTGAGACTATCACAACCAAAAAGGTAAAGATGGATGAGCTTTCTCAATCTTGCCATGTCTTTTGGTAACTGTTGCAAGTTCTGACAATCTATGAGCCTTAGTGTTTGCAGGTTATACAACATACATATTGAATCTGGCAACCTAACGATGTCAGACCCAGAGAGGTCAAGATACCGTAAATGTTTTGCATTTATGGCCTTGCAAATGACAGTTGGAGAAGGGGGGCAATGCAATGCTCTTAGTGATGCCAATACCTGTTGCAACTCCTTAATATCCTTGTGTGATCTGCTTGGAAAATTATAATTATGATCCTCCCATGATTCTGATGGAGCTAATAAAGTGCGGAGGTATGTTCTGCCTTTGCATAACCCACTGCTTCGTTGCAATTCAGCCTTTGACATTTTCATGTGACAAACACCTTTTAACAATGCTTTCTGCTGAGACGATCCTTCTATACTTGCACATTCTTCTGTGACATCTTTTGCTAGATCATGCATTAAGTCATGCATTTTACATACAACTATCTTATATTGTGTGTCACCATGATGGATTGCAGATTTGACTACCACTTTCTTATCTTGGAGGAAGGACCTCCAAACCAACTCATCAAAAATAAATTCTCCTTTCTGTACTAAATCCACTGTTCCCTCTTCTTGAATAAAGCAATTTGCCATCCATAGTTGGATCAACCTATCCTTCTCCATCTCATAATCCTTGTAAAAAACTGCACAGAATGCAAAACATAGTTTCATTTCAGAGGACAGGTGTTTGTAGCTTAACTTCAGTATGGGCATGACCTCATATTTGCCTCCATCATTATCCCCAATGTTACTTTCTTCGATGGCTTTCCATTCTTGTACTTTTTCCTTTGAACTCAGCAATCCACCCATTGTCTTGAGAGCAAGAGGCAACCCCCCACATTTATTGACAATACGCCTTCCGATGCTGGCTAACTCTGCTTGCTCCTCTACACCATTGCTAAATGCTTTATGTGCAAACAATTCCCATGAATCTTGTTCGCTCAGACATTCTCGCTTGAGGGGTCGCAGGGTCTGCATTATAGAGGCCACTTTATGGCTTCTAGTTGTGACTACTATTATGCTTCCTGGTCCACCAACAGAACACAAAAGAGGCTTCAGATCATCCTCCCACATCCTCTCGTTCTCATTCCACACATCATCAATCATGAGCATAAACCTGTTTTGGCCAATGACTTCCTCAAGTTGCTTTCGCAACAGCTCAATGGTGTCAGGCATGTCACATCTTTTATTTCCGGCCAACTCAATGATGGATTTCAAAAGAGCAACGACATTAAAGTTGTCGGACACGTAGTGCCACATCTTTAACTGGAAATGTTCCTGGATCTGTTGGTCATTATACACCATCTTAGCAAGAGTTGTCTTGCCAAGACCTCCCATCCCAAAGATGGGGAGCACCTGCACATTCCGCTGATCTTGCTGGTTCAGCAGCAACTTCACCACCACCTTCTTATCTTCATCTCTTCCAAAGATTTCCTTAGTGTCATCCAGTTTTGAGTGTGTTTGCCTCCAAGGATGTTGCCGCTCCTTACGGACAGAACTCTCCAAGTCAAATGTGTTCATCTCCTTAACCAACTTATTGATCTTCTTGAGGACGTTCTTGAGTTTCCTGCTCATTTCAAAACGAAAGAGCAACGGGCTGTGGCGCGTGATGTAGCCAAGTACCTTGCGGGTAGTGGACTTGCCAATCTTAGACTGGCGGCGCAGCGCCTCATACCGGAAGTCGTCAAGCACGTCGTTGGCCTCGTAGGCGATAGACTTGAGCTCCTTCATCCAGCTCTTGACATACCCGTTTGTCTCACTCCTCTCCTCGGCATTCGCCAACTTGCACTCAACGGCTAGCAGATGGCGCTCCAGCGTTCGGCGGTCACCGTCGAGGCCACACATGCGGCTCACGGTCTCAACAAGTGCGTCTGCAGCCTTGCCGGCCACGCAGCGCACTAGAGGGAGAAGCAGGGACTCTGTCATGCGGCTCACGGTCGGAGGAATAAGATACTGCAACAGGAAAGAAGAGAGATTAAGCACTGCAGAACATGAACAACCTCGTAATCCTCCTATTTTATAGTTCCACAATAGCTTAGCTTTGTATAACTCGTGATAGCCCTCTTGTACATACTTTTTGATACATACACAAAAATTCCAGTGGGGTTTTGCCTACTGTACAGCTAAAAAAACAGAAGATGAACAATCGAAGAAGAGCAAAACAAGGCCAAGGATTGAGAAGAGAATTCACCTCAACAACGTCCAGATTTGATCTTGTCCAGATTGGTGAAAGAGCAGCGTACGGCTGCTCGTTCCTTCGCCGCCCCTGTGTAGGTCTCTCGCTAGCCAAGGCTGCTATGGAGTTGTGTGGTTGCTGGAGAGAGGACGGAAGCAAATGGAGATAAGATCAAGGAATCCAAGAGCTATATTGACTGAAGATTGTCCCTCATTTATTTGCAACCATACATCACTATTATTGGATATTTCTATAATTTCCTTCATTCTATAAACTTTCAAATACTCTGTTTTATTTATACGCAACTGTTTCTTAAGATCCTTTTAGCATTGCCATTGCGTTAGTGCGGTGAATTATATTTTCTGAGTTTATTTAATATTCGTAAGACAATCCAGAGTAGATGGTGTACGTCTAATTGTTCAGTTAGTACAAATAACTGTGGAAGGAAACATTTTTCTCAGAAAAAGGCAGTGGAAGGGAATAAAGATGGAAAGGGTGTGGAAATGTTGTATTTAGGTCGACAACACTTCCCTTTCATTCAATAAATACTGAAATACCGATATTCAAGCTAGCTTTGAACTTATTTTGCAGCTTGCATATACGAACAATTACCTGTACCATTATCATTTCATTTTCCAACTTGTCGATTGGACAATAAGCTAGACATCGATGCATCTGCTCTGAAGACTGAAGACTTGTTCTCACTTGTGTCACTCACGGTTCTGCAGGAATAGGCAAGATGTTGTCAGTTACTGCTCCAGAACAAATTGACACCAGATTTTTTTTTTTGAAATGGAAGACACCAGAAATCTCACAACCAGGAAGAATTTTTGTGTGGAATGTATTGCCTATGTGAGGCCAAGAAAGCTCTGAAGAGGCGCTCCTGCGTCAATTCCTTTCATGACGCAACGGGCCAAGTGCAACTCAATTCTTTAATCTATTTTTTTTAGAAATGGAGGAGGACCCCCGGTTACTGCATCTGGATGATGCATGCAGCCATTTTATTAATTATTCACACAAAGACCTTACAAAGTATAAAAATTGAGGGAGAATTTCACTTCCCCGGCCTCTGCACCAACTGGAGATGCATACGGCCATTTTTAGTATGAGTATCAAGATAAACATGGTCCTTATAATTTTTTAAATGAGTATCAAGATATTTTTTGATGAGTGGTTCCATCACACACCAAACTTGATTCTCAATAAATGGGGGAAAACCTCTATGCATCATCTGTCAATTCTAGGAATTAAACTCGGACCGTTAGGCTGCACAACTGCATGCCCAACCACTGAGCCAAGGCTCTCTTTGCTTAGATCACCAAATAAATATCAGTGTTAACAATGGCTGCTGGAGCACATAAGTTAACTTGTATTATAAAGGGCAACAGAGTAAGATTAATCATCTGCAGCGCAAAAATGTCAGTTTCAAAACTAGATGTCCGGTCCTCAGTTTCAGCCTATTGCTAGAGAATGTGCTACTTACGGTCAGCTGACTGGATTTCTTCCTGTGCAGACAGCATGCAATTGTTTGCCGAACTCCGTTGTACAGGAGACTCAGTATGCATGTACGAGGAGACACAATATGCATCTTGTCTCATAAGATTCAAGCATGATTAGTTAGATAAAACCAAAAAAGGCTGCTATGGGATTGTGTGGTTGCTGGGGTGAGAGGGTGAAACCAAGTGGAGTTAGATATTGACTGATATGTGTACCTACTGGTGGCCCCTCACTGATTTATAGCTATATATCACTATTGTTGGATATCTCTACAATTTTCTATATACTTTCAAATACTCTGTTTTGCCTGTACACAACTGTTTTAAGATCGTTTTAGCATTTACCAACATGTTAGTGTGGTGAAGTGTATTTTTTTCCCATTTAACCTTCTTTAGACCATCCACTGTAGATGGTGTCTAATTGTTGAGTTACTACAAATAATTTTCCATTTAACCTTCTTTGGGTGCTGGAGTGCAAGGCTCATTAATCTGGTACCCCATCGGCCCATAGGTTCGAACTATCTGGGGTGCTGCAGAGCAGCTGTGCAAAGGCAACAGGGGCAGGTTGGAACTGAAGAAACTGAAGCTCCGTCAACCAACGCAGTGCAAGCTTCAGAGAAGGCAGTCATCTGAAGAGAAATATGTGGGAGTTGGGGCCCGCAGGTCAGCCAGAGTACTCCAAATATTCCAGTGACGATCGGGTCAAGGTGTAGATCGAGGGCCGCCTAGTAGCTATAATGAGAAGCAAACGCTTGGGCAGTCGGCTGCATCCGAGCCCAGTGTCGCTGAATCGCTTCTCTCGTTGAGCTGTCAAATTTTTTTTGGAGTCTTTGAGCTGTGAAGTGGGATATCAACAAAGAGCATCTATTTATTTTTGACAGTGCTAACTCCCAGACGTCCTGATTTTAGCGATGACGATCCACATGCAGCCCATTCAAACTCGCGATTGCGTGCAGTCCGTTTTTCTCCACATGCATGTGGTAATTAATGTTGCTTTTTCTTCATCAAGACATCTCCAATGGTTGTATGATCATCGTTTGTAAAATTGGCACATAGACTGTTTTAATGAAATGGCATGTAATAAAAGAAGAGAGAGAATGAAATCGTATGATACTGAAGCTACCTCCATGCACAAGCTCCGAGGCAAGTCTGTTCATTTCTTCAACATTTAGTGGACCCGCCTGGATTTTTAACATACGTCTCATTGAAGAGCTTGTATGATGTGTTGTTGGCTGCTGACGTGAACACTTTTACCAACGATCAAACATACAAGCTGTTGCAGATGCCCTCATGCACATGCATGGCATTTGTTAGAAAACTTAATTACATACATGTGAGACAAAATTAATGACATCACCATAGATTCCCCCATGATTCAAAAAATTATAAATGTTTCTTAGGCCAAACCATTGCTCCGATCAAAAAATTATTTTCACATAAAAGAACCGTCGCGGCGAGAACTTCGAAACTAGATCCCATGTTGATATGTTCCGACGACTTTTTTTAGGTAAAAGCTACCACACATAGGATATGCCAGTTATCACGTATATGATACATCAGTTACCATGATGTTTACATAGGCAAATTTCGGGCATAAAAATTGACTTCTTCCACCTTCTCCCCACATGCAAATGCACTAAAAGTGCAGAAAAGCTAATGTCATCATGGATTCTTTTTGTTTTAAAATTTCAAAATGTTTTGTCGTTCGAATCACCTGTTTGATCCAAAATCTGTTTTCACAACAAAAAAAACCCGCCGCCGCGAGACCTTCGAAACTAGATACCATGTTGGCATGTTCCGAATACTTTTTTGTGTGTGTCAAAAGTTATCATGCCTGGGGTAAATAAGGTATCAACTCTGGTGTGCGTATATTACCATATTATTTACACAGATCCTACCGAGTATTTTTTTTAACAACTTTTTTTCACGGGTCAAAAGTTATTGAGGTGATTGTACCTAAGTCATCAGGTCCAGAAGCCCATATTACCATGTTATTTATACAAATGTTATCGGAGTATGTTTTCAAACAACCATTTTACACGGGTCAAAGTTATCATGGTGTTTGTACCTAAGTTATCAGGTCCGGGAGCCTATATTATCATGTTGTTTGCACGAGAAGTTATTAGTGGTATGTTTTCAATAAAAAAATTGACGGGTCAGATATATCGTGTTGTTTGTACCTAAGTTATCAGGACCGGGAGTCTATATTATTATACTATTTACACACAAAGTTATCGGTGGTATGTTTTTAACATCTTTTTTTCCCGGGTCAATGTTATCGTTGTGTTTGTACCTAAATTATCAGGTTCGGGAGCATATATTACTATGTTATTTACACAGATGTTACCGGAGTATGGTTTCAACAACTTTTTTTCATGGGTCAAAGTTATCGTGGTATTTGTACCTTAGTTATCAAGTTCGTGAATGTATATTATCATGCTATTTACAAAAAAAGTTATCGGTAGTACGTTTTTAACAACTTTTTTCCTCGGGTCAAAGTTATCATGTGTTTGTACCTAAGTTATCAAGTCCAGGAGCCTATATTACCATGTTATTTTAGACAGATGTTACCGGAGTATATTTTCCATATTTTTTTTCAAGGGTCAACGTTATCATGGTCTTTGTACCTAAGTTATCTGGTCTGCGATGTGTATATTACCATTCGATATACAAATAAGTTACCAGGGGAGTTTTTCAAGAACTTATTCCCCGGGTTAAAATTACCCCTTGGTATTTATATGCAAGTTATCAGCTCTGTGAAGCCTAAATTATCATGCTATTTACATAGAATTTATCGGGCTGGTTCAGTTTTTAGCGTTTTCATAAATATAATAGGACATCTACTTGACACAAACTGTATCTACTGTCCCTCCGATTTATTTCTTGAAACTGAATTTAACTCTTAATTTACCAAGCTGCATTTCACAGAGAGAAAACAGAACAATGAAAGCCTGAATTTTCTGAAAACTAATAATAGACCTTGGTCTCGTACACTTTCTTAAGAAAAAAGAACACTAAAAAACTGAATTTTCTGAACTGAAACGATGCATTTGTACTCGAGCATGTTCTAGCTGATGCTGTCGATGCTCAATTGGCACTCTAATTGGAACGATTCACACTGAATTGGTACTCTAATTGAGCACCGAATAGCTGTTGTTGCCGCTGCTAACTTGCGAAGTGCAGTTTCTTCAGAGGCCACCGGAAAATACATTGGATGTCATGGGAGAATATAACTAAGGCCAAAAGAAATGGAG